CCGTGCGGGCGGCGGGATGGTGCGGGCGAGCGCGGCGCGGCGCCGAGCAGGCTGAGGGGGGCGGCGGGACGCAGGTGAGGCCGGGCCGGGGAAGGCGGCCCCGGGGGCTCTGCCCGCGGAGCGCCAAGGAGATTCCCCCCGTGCCGCGTTCGCTCGTTCGCGTCTGACTAATTTTATTTATTATTTTTTTCGTCCGCCCAGCGGCTCTTTGTTCCCGGGCTCGATGCCCCTGGGGCTGCCCAGCGCAGCCCGCGCCGCCTGACCTTGGGGTCCGGTGTGTAACCAGCTGTGTCCAGCGATGTTAACTTGATGCTCAGTTGATTGATTTTTTTTTTTTTCCCTCTTTACCGGGGGAAACCCCAGGTTTCCATGGAGGTTACGGGGAGGGGGATGAGCTCTGGTCACGTCTGACCTCGAGCTGTTCGTATGAGTGGGGCGCCGACAGCTCATCGCTGCCCAGCCCTGTGGTGGCTAATGGTGGCCAGGCTGGTATGGTGGTGGTCGGGGTAAAGGTTTTGTCTCCCTTTTGTCTCTAGGGCTTGCAGGTAGGTATGGGTGCAGAGAACAATAGAGCAGGGCTGTATCTGGRTGCAGGTGTTGGATGGAGTTGAGCCTGGAGAGGCTCCTAATCCCATCCCTTCCTTGAAAGGCAACACCAGGTTCACCTGAAGGCAAGATTTAGCTARTCTTTGCCCGGGGAGACTTATGGTCTTTCAGCTCATCTCTTAGGTGGCTTGATGCCTGAGTGTCCCTAGTCAAAGGGAATCGGAGTGCTATTAGTCGTCTTGGTGTGTCAGGAGATGAGGATTTCCTTGCTCTTGGTATCAAACAACTGTTACACCCCATGGCTCTCTACTAAACCCCCCTTCTCCCYAGCCTTCCCATCTCTTGCCCTGCAGACCTCTGACTCTTTAGTCCTTGGGACCTGGTGCGGGTCAGAAGCCACAATGGACCGTGCAAATCGGAGCGGCGTTTGCACCGGTGCCCTGTGCAGCTGCTGAACAAAGCGAGCCACAGCTTAACGCTTGGAGGAATAATGCCTGAAACATGCTGTGAGGCTCCTGAAAAGAATTACTGCYGGAACAGGAATGCTCCGAGTTGGGCTTCTGTGTTAAGCATTAGAGGTGCTTGCAAGAACTGGTAGGAAGCTCGCCTTGTTGGAATATTAATAATCCCATTCATTTGCTTGCTAGCAGAGCTAGAAGATGTGTCCCTCCTGAGTGATGTACAGTCGTTCCTGCACAGTTCAGCTTGTTCAGTGTGCTCTGTGTTAGCTGGCGTGGAATCGTTGTTGGAATCTCATTGTAAGCGATGGAGATAAACAGACCTCGAGCTGTTAGTGCTCTCTGGAGTATGTGCTGCGAGAGCTGCAGCTCCCCAGTTTGCCTCATTGGCTTGGGCAAGGGCATTGTGTAAGATAAAATGAAGGCATTTTTCTTCGCTTGGGCACGGGAGTGGGAGTTGGAGCTCTGCAGTATTGGCTCCTGTGTTGTCTGCTGGCTTTTGTATTTGGTGTGAGGAGTAAAGCCGGGAGCACGCGTTAGTACTCCGGTACCACAGCATTTCATTGCTTGACTTGTGYGTTTTGGCTAAATCTTGGACAAGCTGAAAACCTTTTAATGCAATTTCCCATATCACAGATGAGTTGCAGAACTGAGGACGTCTAGGACTGTCCTGACAGTCCAAACCAGCATAACRGAGCTGGCACTTGGAGGTGTGAAAAGTCATGTTCTGCAAAGCCAGACAGCGATTTGTCTGCAGCTGACCTGCTAATCTCCTGTGATCTCTGCTGTACCAGACACGCAGCCACTTCAGCCTCAGGACAAGTGCCCTCTCTGTGTGGCGGAGGGGTGGTTAGAACAAGAGTATTAATTCAAGTGAGTTAAAAGCCTGATATTCTTCCTTTGTTTCAATAACTTAGGAGAAAAAAAAATGRTCAGAACTCATCTAAGGCAGGAAATGTCTTTTATTAGGAGTTTGTAAGTGAAATTGGCTGGGCAAACCCCTGAAAGCCAACCCTTGGTTTAGCCATGTACAGCTGAGGTGGGAAGTTTATTTTGTTTCAAGCATGTGTCTGCTAGTTCATTAGAGGGTCTGTTCCCTCCTTGTCCCTTTCAAAACTGTTCTGTTGGAAAACTACCAGGATAGGATTCCCTATAAACTGGCTCTCATTAGATTTGACTGCTGACTTCAAACAGGTCTTTGAGCCTCCCAGAGGCAATATTGATTGGGAAGTTATTGTTAGGGCTCACTGTACAGAGAAAGGAAGCAGCCTGGTTCAGAATTGATCCAAGGCAGGCAGCAGGGCTGCTTCACATGGTGACCAGTTTATATTTATTGTCCCTCAGCTTGATGAGTTGCCCATGGGAGTCAATGGCTCTTACTGAGGGGGGCATCATCCAGGGATTCTTCACGTGACCTGTTTGTTGTCTAGACCAGTGCCTAGTATTTAAACCTTTCCTCTTTGCTGAAGATAAACCTGGTTACCTGAAGTTGTGCTGCCTTTGTTGAGAGGGGAGCTGCAGTTATGGGGATTTGCTGTAGGTCAATACAGGCAGAGTAGCTGAAGATGTCTCTAATATCCAAGCTCCTTGATGATTGGTAAGTCTTCTCCAAGCTGAAGACTTGGAGAATGCCAGCAGAGACCTGGGGACAGGAAGCTCCTGCAGCRTGAAACTGGGCAATTCCCCTGCTTCAAGCTAGTAATGGAGTCAAGCCTACTCCAGGACTTGCTGGGTTAGAGCAGCATGTCCAACTTGTCATCATCTGGCTAAGGTTATAACCCTGTGCACAGGTTGTGACTCCTTCAGGCAGGAGGATGGGTGTAGAGACCAATGCAGCACAAATAGCCACTGGTATCTGGACATAAAGCAGTTCACTAAAACCTGGATTACTTCAGCATTAAGTAGAAAGGCTACTGCAAGGTGTTAAACTCTGCTTAAGCAGAGTCAGGGCACCACTGTTCATACACCACTTAATCCAGTCTCTTCAAAGCTAAGTAGGTCTTAAGCCCTTGCTAATCTTCTTTGAAATGTGAACTTGTGCCACTTGTCCTGCAGCARGCTCTGTGTCTGCTCCTCATGTCCTTCTCTCCAGATCCCATTGAATGGGAGGGGAGGGGGGTGTCTAGGTTGGCTTAGGTCTGGTGGATTGGGGTTTCTTGAGCAAAAACACTCTCTCCAAGGTTATTTTTACCTTCTAYAAGTGTAGAACTGTGATTTAGAGCAGTCCTCAGCCTGGGAACGCAGCGCTATTCTAGGATAGGTGAGGATCTGTCTGTATCAGGTCACCACTGCATAGTGCTCGTGTTGTCTGCTGACTAGAATGGAGTAAGTTCTGTTTTGAGAAGGATTTCTCTTAATTTGTTACCTTCTAATTAATGGCTTAAGAACCAACCTTTTAGGGAGCAACTTCCCCTCTAATTTGTTTATGTTCCTAGTCATAGTAGAGATGAAGTAAACTTATTTGGGAGGTAGGGAGGAAGGGAGAATTAAAGGCTTTTCAGTACTGTAGCCATCCTTGGTTGCCTTGGGCTCCTAGTCTCAAATAACATTCCTCTTGATACCTCTCAGGAAGGCATCCTATTTGTAGGCTGTGGTTGTCTTGCAAGCCCAGCTGGAGGTCTCTTTTGGGCTGGATGTGCAATAAGTTCTAGCAGAAGTCAGTCTAAACTGTGGACTTTTTAGAGATGCTGTATTTTGATGCAGATGTAACCAAACAGTGCCCTTTAAATGAGAGTTTTTTCAGCGTCTTGCCGTGGCTGAATGTTCTGAACTGGCCCATGCTGAAGGGGTGAATGAGGTGAATGTAATTTGTATTCACACAGCATGGCAGATGCGTGTCAGCAGGCACTATTAATTTAACTTACACACTATAATCTTAGTACTTTTTAATTACAAAAGTGCATAAGGGATTAGCTTGGAGGAATTGTTGGATATTGTCAGTTTTCTGCTCTCCTTTTGGCAGGAAGGATGGACGAGATAAATGGGTGGCCACTCATCCTGCAAAGAAGAGATGCTTAAGCAGGGAGAGGAGGGAAGACATCTGTAGCTGTTGTTGATGAACAGCATCTAGGTGGCTTTTATTTGAAGCTTGAGCACCTGGTGTGTGTGGCCTGCACTGGATGAAGGTGAATTACTGCAACAGCCCTAAGAGCTCAGGGATGGAGCTGTGGGGAGAATGGAAAAAATGACTCAGTGTGCCCTGAAGGCTCAGCCAGATAATGAAGCTTGTGGTATTGACTCTAATGACCTGTGTGTGTCTCCATGCTGCCAGTGCTGAGATTGTCCTCTGCGTATTTGATCTGTGGGGCTGTCTGYGGTATAGACTTCTAAGAGCTTTCATACAAGAGATGATTCTTCTAGCTGAAGTAGGAAGCATATTTCTGATGGAAATGGTCCAACAACAATGTAGTCAGTTGCATTGCTGCAAGCCCTCTATGTATTGATTGTGTTTAGATGTTWGGGCATGTACAACAATGCTTTTCCAAAGAGGAAATATGCATAGGAACAATAGGACACCGATAGGACCTTAGTTGTGGGGACTGGCACAAATGCCCATGGCTCAAAATGCTCCCTTGGTGGCAAAGGCCCCTTCCTGTGCCCTGTCGTAGGGTGCTGTGGAGGGAGCTCTGTGTCCTGGGGTAGCAAAGTGCTGCTGGGCAGCTTGTTACTGCACTGCACATAGGCAAATGCAAGTAGTGCTTGCATGGCTGCTGTGTGAGTGTGAAAATAGAGCTGAGGAAGGGTGGCACATGTGAGCAGTGCTGCAGGGGTGACACTGGTCTCTGCCCATGAGGTTTTGAGGAGTGGAGCAGAAAGTTTCAGCTGTTTTTCTTGTTACCCCTGTAGCTTGAAGGTAAGTTCTCCCATGAAACTGGGACTGCAATGGCAAAAGCAATTGGGTCTATTTGCAGTCTTGAGACTTTAAGCTCACCACAGCTGTGGTTGCTAGTAACCCACTTCTGAAAACAAGGAGGAGGGTGACCTTAGAGAGCAGCCCTCCACTGCTGCTCTGTGATGAGCCTTATGACTGGCTGCCTTGTGYAACGAGTAGATGCAAGGCCTCAGAGGGGCCTTGCATGCGGCTGAGTGCCGCTCTGGGGCGGCTCAGGGGCTGGCAGGCCCTTGTCTGGAGCAGGGTGGCTGGGAGCAGCCCCATGTCACTGCATGGGGCTCTTGCAGCCTGCCCTGCCTCCCAGGAAGGAGCCCTTGTCTGCTGCTGCGTCACTGCCAGGTTCCTGGTTCAGCACTCCTGGAAACTCCTGAGGCAGTGCAGGGATTAAATACATAACTTTCTGGAAATGGCTGTGTGGTGCAGTGCAGCATAAACATTGTCCTAATGCAGCAGTGCTGCTTCCAGTGCTGTCTGGGCAACAGCCTTTCCTAGTAGAGCCAAGGTGTCCATGGAGGGTGTGATATAACGCAGCTACAAAGCCCCTAGGGCACCAGCTTGGCTCTCTCKGGTTTTGTGTTGTGCCCCATAGGCCTCCCCTTCCCCTGGGCACTTTATTTCTCATGCAAGTAGTTCAGCTCCCCTCTGCRTCCATGCCCAGAGTGGATGGGATTTGTTGCAGTGGTCCTGACACTTCAGTCTGTCTGCTCAGTCCTACTGCTCAACAAACCGCTAGTCTGTGGTGTGGCAGAGAGCAAACTGGTTGGGTTTTATGGCATGTGTGCGTGCCAGGCAGAGCACTAAGCCCTGCTGCTCGTGCAGAGAGCTTGGCAAGGTCTGCTGTGGCTTCAGCTTTGCAATTTGTGGCTGGCATGGAACTTCAAATGGTTGGGAAGAATGAAATGAGATGCATCTGGGATATAGGGATGCATTCCTAAGGATGAGTAGGAAGAGTCTCTACAGGACTGATTGTGTGTTAGGTTGTTTACAGCTTATCCAGTTGAAGCACTAGGTTAATAGGCTATGCAYACCCATGATCATATTGCTGCTTTTTTGCCCTTTCTAGGTCTTGGTTCTGGACTTCCTGCCCTGCAACCTGTGCACACCTCTCCTCAGCTATGAGGAAATCGATAGGATTTCAGGTCTGTGTGGTTGCCTGCAGCATCCTGCTCTTATCACCATGCCTTGCCTCTCAGGACCTGGAGGAGAGGGATATGACAAAGCTCCAGCCTGGCCCATGGGCAGAGAATGGGGTAGAAGATGAAAGGACAAGTCTGTCACATTTGAAAAATATCCTGGACCCCTCTGAGCAAACAGTCCTGGAAGAGCCATTTGGAGTGTCAGCAAAGTCATCTGAGATGCCCTTAAGTGAAGCCTTCACCGTTGAAAGAGAAATACAGCCTGCAAGCCCAAGTCCTGTCTTCCCAAGCAGCCAGAGCCTGAATGTTTACACCCCTGCTGGGGCAGTGAGTGCTACAGAAGGGAAGGAACTTGGTCCCGTGAAGTCAGAGAAGGAGCTGAATGACAATGGTGAGCTCAAGGCCATGCTGACCACAGCTGTGACCACCCTGAGCCCTTCCATGGAGGAGGAACCTGTCAGTGGCCCTGTTAGCCAGACCCCTGTGGAGGATGGTGCTGAAGCAGAGCCTGGCTTTGCCAGTGTCCTGGCAGCTGTCACAGAAAGRGAATTTACTGCATTGGAGAAGGCAGAGAGTAACTTGGACAGTTCAACTGCACCCCAATTCCCCAGTGAGCAAGTTTCCACTTTGCTCCCCAGCACTCCCAGTCTGGAAGTGGCAAGTGACTACTCGGTCACCCCTAGTCCTGAGCCTCAAAGTGTGGACTCGGAAGCTGAAACACCAAGTGCAAACATGGGGAGCCCTCTGCAGATCCTGACTGTRCCAGGACACGTTGCTGCAAACCTCCCTCTTGCACCTACTGAGGCTTCCTTCCCTCTGGAAGCAGGGACGGATGGCAGGCAAGGAGAGCTGCCTGTCACAGCTAGCACTGTCACTGTCCAGCCAACTGACTCTGTGCCAGCTGAYTGGGATGACACAAAACCAGGGAATATAAGTCAAGGGGGAAACCTGCAGCATGAGGAGATGAGAAAGGATCAAGYGGCAGCAGAACCACCTCAAACCCCACAGGGAGATGTGGGGGAGGAAGATKATGTGACAAGAGTGCTGCCATCCCCGGTATCTGCTCCAGCAACCTCTGGCACTGCCAAGGAGAGCAACTCTRCAGCTCTGGTGTCAGCGCAGGGGGAGGAAATGCCAGGAGCCCCCACAGGCCGCAATGATGTTTCTCTCGCTGTGAGCTTGACAGGAATAGACACATCTGATTTAAACTCTCTGGAAAATACAGACATAGCCACAGCAGAGGAAAGGGAAAGCATTGCTCTGTCACTGCCAGAGGCTGCCGTGGTGACAGAGACAAAATTGGATGTCCTTCCTGCTCTGGGAAGCTCACTAGAAGGTAAAACCTTGTCTGTCAACAGAGTTTTTTCTTCAAATGCACATTTGAGACGTGCCTCTGGGAGTCTGTTTTCCCTTCTGGGGGATAAAAAGGGCAAAGGTGGTCTGGATACCTCCAAAGGAGGTAGGATCTCCCCTAGGTGAGGAAGGGCTCTGAAATTCTCTGTTTTATGTAGGTGATAATTCAGCAGGTCACTTAATTTGCATTTCRCTACGGCCCAATGTTCAGCACTTACATAGACAGATCTGCTCCTGTAGGCAGATTTTTTGACTTCTAGATTACATGAATACTTGTCTGTGCTATTTCTTATCAAACTCGAAGAAAATGTTTTTTTAGTAGCAAATAGCAGTGCTGAGACTGGAAAGGTCATGAGGTCATGGTGGCAGAGTCTGGGCATGAAGAATGTATTGAAACCCYATCTGTAGAGACTCAGTCCTCTTCTAATACTGCAGTCAATCAAGTAAACTTAAACTGCCCTATACTACTAAAACAGACTTCAGGTTTGGTGCATATAACTTAACTATTGTATAGGCATCACATCTTGATCAGGCAGGGATGGATCTGCTTTGAAAAGTCCTCTTGTCTCCTATCTAGGAAGGGGGTGTAGCTTCTGATCAACTGAGTACTTGATTACAAGTGGTTGTAATACAACCCCACACATGCTTGTGGAACAGTAAACCCAAAGGTGAAGGTCTTAAATGAGTTTGAAATGCAGTGGTGCACAAGGAAGGATAATTCCTCCTTTGAGGGCTGCATCAATTAGTAYTGGGGGTTACCTGCTAGCTTCAGTCACTTGCAGTCAATGCAGCAGATGTGAAGAAAAAGGCTAGCTGGAAATTCTGGTTAGATCCAGGAGTAGGTAGGCTAGGCTGTCACCAGTAGCCTTGGTGTGACTCAAATCTTGATCTGCTCTGACCATCCTTAGAGAATCCTGGAAGAAGGTCTGTGCAGAGTCTTGTGCTGTTTTCTCTGTAGCAAGTAGTCCCTGAGCTCTGCTCACTGCAGAGCAAAACTGTGGCCAGGCTCTGACTCTGCTCCTGCAAGTGCACGTACCAGGAGGATGAACCTTTACTCCTAGCCCATGGTAGGCTCAGTCTTACCCCACACCCTGCTTACCTGCCTAGATGTCACCTTTAGCCTACTGACTATTCCCACTGTGTCTAAAGCAGGGGGGAGAGAAAATAGAAAAGTCTGTTTGGRTAAGAGTTAGGCAATAGCTTGTTCCAAGCTGACTAGGAGCACTAGGTRTAATTAGGACTTCATTGTACTAATTGCTGGAGTTCTTCAATCTCCACTTCAGGATGCAGTGTTGGGCAAAAGGACAGTTTTCCCTTCTCAACATTCCTAAAGATCCCTTTTCTAAAACAAAAGAAGGAAAATTGTGTGCTGATGCTGCAAATAGACTAATTTACAGGTTAATCTGTAAGCACTTGACTTGTCAGCAGGTTCCCCTTCTCTTCCCTGATGTTGGTGAAATAACAGCATTAAGACTTGYRTGAAAACAAATCCTTCAGTGAACTSCAAGAGCTGATCACTGAGAGCCTGATCTGGCATCCTTGTTTGCTCTGATTGTAGCTTCACACAGCAGGGCTGCAGTGCTCTGATCCTCTGTCATTGCTCACTAGTGGGTCCTCTTGTCCCCAAGGAGCAAGGAATAAAACAAAAGCAGCAGGATCATTCCTGTTAYGTGTTATGGCATTTTTTATGTTGTACTCTTCCAAAAACACTTGGCTAGAACTAGCCAAGTGTGCTCTGGCTCAGGAAGTGTTAATGCATGGTATAATTGTGTGTTCAAACATCTGTTCTGCTCCTCCTTGATAAACTGGCTGTACTGTGAGTTGAGCCTGACACCTGTTCTTGCTGTAGGTGTCACACAGGAGATGACAACAGTTCCCCAGGATCCTGATGCTGCACCATCGGTTGTGATGTTGGCACCTGATGCTACCCAGGGAACTGGAGATGCAAGTCTTCCTTGGGAGGAAAGTGGGAAGGATACCTGGATGCCAGCTGTTTCCAGTGCCACACAGATGTTGACAGCAACTGATGCTGCTTCCACAGCAGAAACTTCAGATGTTGAGGGTAGGATTTAGCTTCAAGCTCTCTGCAGACCTGTTTGTAGAAGATGTGATGCTGCATCCAAAACCAAAATTGATGCTTGTATGTATAGATGCTGGAAGACTTCAGTAAACTTGMATTTTTCTGACTTTTTGAAGGCAAGCTCTTGCTTTGGTAGTACTTTCTGCCCATACASTTGCATGTACTGTGTTGAAATGTGCCAGCAGAGCTTTTTTTAACCCCAGAAAGGCACTGGGGAGATCTCCCCTAAATCTTGTCTGTCTTAACTCAGGTGTCTGGCTGAAGCCTTGTTATTTATCAAACAACTTCTCTGACTTCTGGAGCCACCAGGCACTAGYTGTAAACGGCTAGTGCTTCATCCAAAGGAACAAAACTTCTCTAGGGTGTGGGACCACTAAGTATGAATTTGTAGTGGATTCCATTTAGCTCAAGGGCTTGGAAGCCTGCACAGATATCCACCTCACTTGAGCAGTGGTGGATTCTTGGCTCTCCTGCTTCTTCGGTCACTCTTGTCACTTGAAGCAGTCAGTGACAGCTTAGTGACTCAATGTCACCTTGTCAGGGATGTGCTGGAGACTCTCCCTTTCATAGGAGCTTAGTGAGTTGTCTTAGCCCAAGGCTCTGAGTGCCAGTGTGTTTTTATAGCAGGTACCACTGTAATGACACTGCTGCTGGGGAGCTTTCCTGGTAAGTYGCATATTTCAGGGCATCAAAGAAAAAAGGCTTCAATTTGCATCTTTTCTCTTGGAGTAAAGTTACTCTGTAGGGGAACAAAGGCTTTTCCAATAGTTTCCACTAATTAATCTGCTTCTGGGATTTAATTATGATTTCAGTTAACTTTTATTTCTGCAATAAAGGGATCTGTCACTTGGTTCAGAACTTGATCAGTGTCTCAGTGCTCTGATCTTGCTGTGGGGTAGTGACTAGCAGCCCTCAAAGCCCTGGAAGTCAGAAGTTGGCTGTTTTCTCGTTAAGGGGGACCTCCTGTGCTGGCTGTCCTGGAAGGAAAGCTTTTTATTACAGTAGTCACACCTAATCTTAGAAGGATCAGGAGTTTAATAGGTTCTTTCAAAGCTGTACTTTTAATTAAGGAGTTCAGTTTCTTAATGGTTTTAATATTGCATTGCCAAGCTGCTGCTTTCCGTCTTCCCTAGATTTCACAGATGTGATCCCAGACACCAGTGAAAAGGCTGTTCCACCTCCTGGTGATTACTCTGCTACCCAGTCTGGACAGACAGAGGAGCCACCCAGCAGAACAGTGGTGCTGGTGACACCAGCATCAATGGCTTCTGTGAGGAGGACAGCTCTTCCATCCGTGAGGAAGATCAGTACGGCTGTGACCTACGGGCTGGACCGGCTGGAGTCAGAAGGTACCAGTTAYGCCAAGGCTAAAAGGCAGGCAGCTTGATGTGGAGTGGCACACTTGGCAGTGTGAACTTACCAAATGGTCTGTGTGGCACAGTTATGTGCATGTTACTGTGCATGTGGTTATATATGTTGTGGTCAATAAAGATGTTGGATGACCTGCCTGCTTTCTGGGGGTACAGGAGGTTAGCAGTAAAAAGTGTCCTTGAGATACTTAGACAAGTGGGAAACATGTGGAGAGCCCTTGCCGTGGCTGTTGAACTCCTCTCCCCAAGCAAATGCAAAGGGGTGTTCAGCATGAGGTGGGTGTGTCAATGTGCAGCTGACTCAACACCTTGCCAACACATGTGCTATCCTATTGTCACTCCCCAGGTGATAATGCTGGGAGCAGGCAGAGATCCCCTTGGAGCTGCTCTTCCAAATTGGTGCTGCCTGACAAGCTGCTCTCCAGCGCTGGCTCCTCTAGTCTTGTCTCACATTGTGGGTTCCCTTTTTCTGTTAAGCTCCTCTCACTTTTGTTCATTTTCTTCTCTTGGTTTATGTTTCCACACMACCAATTTTCACATAGTTAATACTTGATGATGCCACTTCTGTCTAAGCAAACCTCTGTCCGAAGAGGTGTAGGAGAAGCAGAGGCTCCTCTGGAGTTAGCCTGCAGCCCTGATTCAGTACCTCTTCAGCTCACTCATAACTCTCCTKCAGAGAACTGCTTCACTCCTGCATCTTGTTCTTACTTAAGCATTTTCATGCTTGCCTGTCCAGCCATGATTTTTGTACTCTAGTGTTTAGGTTGTTTCTTCTTGCCAGAGATTAATCTTTCTGCCTGCTTTGTGCATCTTCCTTTATCTTGACCTTCTCTTCCCTTTGTATCTTACTGCACAGGTTGGCAGCCCTCCAGGGGTGGCATGCCAGATGGTATTTTTCCTTTTGATGGGAGGTGGGGTGCCATAGACAACAGCTAATCAGCATCTTTTCTCTGTGTGAAGCAATAACTCCTAACTCCAGTGAAGTTTAGAGGTCAGCAGAAACTGGGAGCTCTCCCTGCTGTGTGAGATGGTGCAGCTCCTGTTGGCTTCCTGCACACTTGAACTGCCATTAGTTCTCTTTGCCACAAGTTCAGCATGTAACTTGTCCTAACAAATCTTCTAGCAGTGCGAGGATGTGGTGCTCATGGTGAGGAGAGGGAGCAAGCACAGAGGAGAGAAGTGGTCTCATATCATATCCTTCTTGCTAAGCAGGGATGGCACAGGAGGCTGAGCTGCTTCTGAGCCCTTTGGGATTTCCTTTGGATGCCTGGCTATCTGTAGTGGAAGATAAGAGGGATTTTTATTTCAACTGAGAATTTGCCTTTCTCCCTAGTTAATAAGGCTTTCTGCACTCGAGTTTGAATCCATATCCTTCTATTCAAAGTCCACTATATATTTTGTGAGTTCCTATATAATTCTCTTTTATGTAGCCATAGGCCTGGCTCTTCTGGTCCTGAATAGTCCCTGAGCTCCTTAAAGACAGACATAGGCTGTAGGAAGGAGCAGGTTTCCTTAGTGATGATCCTCAGCTGGAAGGCTGTGGGTCTCCTTGCTCTAGTATATGGCTCTGCAGGTGCCTGTCACACAAGAGTCATGRTGTTCTCTGAGTTACTCTGTGGTTTTTGGGCAACTGGCTCTTGTTTTTTAGCAACAGATCTTGAGAATTTTTTTCTCAATTTAGACTTTCTGGAATAGGGATCCAGAAACTCCAAGTGTCAGGAATTGCTAGTGCCACCAGTTTAAACCTTATAAAACAGGGCAATACCACTGGGGACAAGCTTTCTGCCTGGGGATGGTGCTGCCCCAATTAAGCACAGAAGAAGCATATGAGCTGCAGCTCTACTTTGTAACATCTTCCTCTGCCTATTGGCAGTCAGGGTACCTTACCTATATAGTAGTGACCCTTGAATGTCAAGTTGCCATTTCCTTCCCACCCCTCAAAGTTATAGTTAATGCTCAATTCCTCTGCCAAAATACCTAGATACTTCCAGAGACTAGATGCCTGAGAGCTTTTCTGTGAAGAAGCACCTTGTGTAGGATGCACTGAGATTGAGTCCAGGGTGCCCAAGCTCTTGGGGGATGCCAGGTCTGCCATGGCCTTGTGGGTGACTGTGGAGCTTCTCATCCTGCCTCTCTGCAGGGGGCATGTGCCTTGCTGACCAGTGAGGGAAATGCAGGGAGCTGAGTAGCCCCAAGCAAGGCTGTAGAGCTGGCTGAGGCCTGCTGACTTGCCTTGTTAAGGGCCTGGCTCATCATTAAATGGAAACTCCTGCTGTTCTGCTAGCTCTGTTTCTTGGGGACCATCTGTGCCAGACTGCCTGTGGTTAATTGCATCAGTATATTCACCTGCCTTGCTTGGATGCAGAACTGTTTTCAAAACCAAATCAAACTGCACAGACAAACATGAGATGCTTTGAGTCTCTCTAGACAAGCTTATCCTCATCTCTAGTGGACTCTGGGGAGATTAGCTGGTACCCTCAGTATCTTTGTATGTTGGCTGTTCAGTGAGACTGCTTCTACTTGCCCTTTCTTGCCAGAGAAATATTAGAAATCCTATAAAGGGATTATAGGATATGGGAACAGGACACAGCAAGGGACTAGTCTCACTTGTCTAGGACATGTCTGTCTTTTGTTCATATCCAGAATTTGGGTGTCTCTAGCAAACCTTTCTGGACASCCGAAAAGCTCTACAAAGAGCATGGGTGCTAAACATGTAGTTACCTAATTCAGTTTGTGTACTGAGCACTACCATGTGAGTCTCTTAATGTGTTCTTTAAAGGGCTCTATTCAGAGTAATAACGTTCCTCTTAGAGTAGAAATGTCTTTGCCATAACATCAGCTATGGTAGGTATGGTTAGATGTGGCTGTGCTCCTTGGATACAGATGAATTTGGTAGTTATAACTGTGAAATGATGCCCTGCATCCATGCCCTCTTCTGCAAGATCCCTGCAGTGCCCTGCCAGTACAGGAGCTGCTGCCTCCCCTCAGCTATTGCTCCCTTCTGCCTTTCATACACGACCCAGTCCTGGGGCTACTGGGGATGAATAGAAGGTAGATTAGTGCATGTCCTGTGAAGGTCACATTCTCAAGGGTATCTGCTAGGGCAGGACTAACCTGCTCCTGGTAGTGATGCCAGCCCCAAACATCACAGCTTGGGTCAAAAAACAGTTCAGCATGAGCAGCTCACCCAATTCATTCAGCTGAAAGTGGTGACTATGGAGTGAGTGTCCTAGGATGGAGAAGAGGAAGGCATCTCTGCCTTCATCATGCAGTGCTAAATCTTGCCTCTTTGGTGTGCCCAATAGAGGACAGTGCTGACTATGTTTCCAGCCTGGCTGGATGCAGCAGTAACAGCAGCTTGGGGGTGTACTTGTTTCAACACACTAGTTAGGGAAGCTCTTCAGCTCTTGGAACCCTGTTTACTGGGCTCGCTGCCTCCAGCCTTGTCAGGAAAACCAATAAAAGCTCTAGATTCTATATTTACTGCAGCTAAGTAAACCCTAGTGTACCCCTTTTGACACAAAAATGGGAGTTAGAAACTCTACTTGCGTTTTGGGATGGAAAGAAGAACAAATTCTGGTTCTTTCTCCTCTTAGAGGGATTTTTTCTGATCCACTGGTGAGGTAGGCTGTGGTGAGAACTATTCTGCTAGACTGGTGTGCCCAAAATGGGTTGTTAAAGTGATTGGAGTGGGCTATGGGGGAGAATTGATTAGTGGCCTCTCTTAACTTTTTTGGGCACATTAGCAGAATCCATTACAGCAGTGCCTTCCTAAGGAACGAAGACTGAAGACAACTTTGGAAAAATCTTCTCAGATGTTGATATCTGTGGAGTGTGAAGGTCCTGTCCCTCCTTTACCTGTACCTGGAGCTGGGGAAGCTGTTTAGGTAGCTCCAGCTTTCAAGTAGGCTGTTGGATGTGGAAGGTGTTTTTTTGGCTTCATGGAAGTGGACGGTGCTCTACCTGTGGAATGGTGTCAGGAACAGGAAGTGTCTCTGAGAATGGGTAGTTTAAAGCAAGCTGCTTGAGCAGGTGAGCTGAGAGCCATGTAGCTCTTGTGGTGTTTTTGTCTTYGATTAATCAGGCTGGCTCTCAACATGCAGCTGGTTGAAGCTTCTTCTTTGGGGCAGAGGAGCTGGGAAGGAATATTAGGGAACTAAGATACAGCCAAAGGCTATGTCGTAAAGTGTGAGCCTGGTTAAGTGTGGGTATAGTTGTTATTACTCAGTCTTGACTTGCAGCTAAACTCCTGAGTAAAGATAGCTTTATCTTGATTCTCCCAGCAGTGGAAATATTAAATATAGTTGAAGACTGTTAGGGAARTGCAGGGGGCAGGATTGGATCTGTTCTCTGGTGTGTTTTATTTTGATGGCAACAAGGCGAGCTAGCTTCAGATGCAGGAATGGGCCTTGGGCAGGGGGAAGGTGCATCCCTGGGTACTATAGCACACAGCCCTGAACAGCTCTAGCAGCTTCCAGCCCAAGTCAGAAGCCACTGCAGTCATTGCAGGATTCTGTGTTGTTTGCCTTGCAGCTGCTGTGTAGGATGACACAGAGGGGCTTGCAGTGCTCTGCCCTGCACTGTGCATGCAGTGGGCTGCACAGAGCTGGAACTGACCTCAGGATCAGCAAATACAGTGTTTATCTGCACAAAGACATCTCACAGAACCCTGGTTGCAGGTTCAAAGCTATTTTGYTCTTTCTACTCTCAAAGACTTCAGATTTTCCAGCACTGGTCTAAGGCTTTAAATTTTCCAGCCCTAGTGTATTCATGGTGTGTTAGTGATGCTGACTTGTATCTCTGGGTTTCAGCAGTTTGTGTTGCTCTGACCTGTGTGTTCACATTTCTTCCAGAGCACCAATGGAAGGAAACTGCTGTTTAACTGATCTTCCCTGCTCACTTTAGAGTTGTGTGCTCCACCTTGGCTTCAACCCTCTTTGTACGTGGGCATCTGAGCGGTGTGTAATACAGGATGTGGC